CCTGCTGCAGGAGGCCAAGAGCCACTGCTTCACCTCCGACACCACCCTCAACTGCTTGGACAGCCAGGGCACCACGGGCCACTGGGCCCTGCCCTCCCCCAGGACCCTCAAGAAAGAGCTCACCAAGAACGGCGGCTCCATCCACCAGCTCACGCTACTCTTCTCAGGCCACAGGAAGGTACGTGACCTGCTGGGTCCTGCTTGGTTGTGTGATGGGGAGTTCCTGGGGTGGAGGTGTACCAGCACAGAGCCATGGAATGGTTTGGGTTGGGAAGGACCTTAAGGCTCACCCAGTTTCAACCCCTGCCACGGGCAGGGACATCTTCCACTAGAGCAGCTTGCTCCAAGCCCCTGTGTCCAACCTGGCCTTGAACACTGCCAGGGATGGGGCAGCCACAGCTTCTCTGGGCACCCTGTGCCAGCGCCTCAGCACCCTCACAGGGAAGAGCTTCTGCCTTAGATCTAACCTGAACTTCCCCTGTTTCAGTTTGAACCCATCAACCCCTGTCCTATTGCTGCAGTCCCTGCTGAAGACTCCCTCTCCACCATCTTTGTAGCCCCTTCAGACACTGGAAGCTGCTCTGAGGTCTCCACGCAGCCTTCTCTTCTTCAGGCTGAACAACCCCAGTGTTCTCAGCCTGTCTTCATACAGGAGGTGCTTCAGCCCCTGATCATCCTTGTGGCCCTCTCTGAACTTGCTCCAACAGCTCTGTGTCCTTCTTATGTTGAGGGTTAACTGCACACACGTGGCCCCTCTCTCCATGGCCACAGCAAAGCTGGCATCTGAGTGGCCAGGAATGTCTCTGCCCCAGGCAGTCAGCTCTGGGAGATGCTTGGCAGTGTATTGATGCTCTGGGTGGGCATCTCCCACCAGTGTGTCCAGATCCTTTGGGTCCCATGTCCTGGAGAGCTGCTGTCCATTGTGGAGGGCCCATCTCAGAAGGTTGAGCTCAGCAGTGATTCCTGACCCTGCAGAACAGGAGCAGTGGAGGGCCATGCAGCAGGAGCTCTCACAAACCCGTGGAGCAGCACCTTGGCTGTGCTTTTGCAGGAACCAATGTGCCATTGCAGAGGTTGTGCCTGGGAAGTGCTGCTTGTCCGGGTGAAGCCTGACTGGGTGCTGAGAGCCCAGCACCCCGCTCTGCCCAACCAAGCTCACCCCAGCTTCATCTCCACCAGTGGCTGTGTGTGCTGCTGTGATCAGGGCTCTATTACTTGGCTCAGGATCATGCTGCGTTGCCCAGGGTCATGCTACACAGCTCAGGACCATGTCACACTGCTCAGGACCACGTTGCAAAGTGCAGGACCACATTGCATGGTGCTCCATGGTGCTGCCTCCTTGGCAGGAGGGGCTGGTAGAGAGCCCTGTTTGCCACCCAGCATGCAGTGTGGTGGGGTTTTAAGCCTGTGATGAGGTTAACCATCCTGCCAGCCTCATGCTGCTTGAGGAGCCACCTCTGCTGCTGTTCCCTGGAGCACTTTTTGGGCTGATGAGAGCCTTTAGCTCTAATCCAGGCTGGTCAGACGGGGCTGCTGTGCAGTAGGGTAGCCCAGAGCCTCTGATGCCAGCAGCTGTGGGCTGCGGGATTCAGAAACCTTCCCAGATGCTATCAAGAAAGGCCCTTTCTGGCAGGGACACAGAGCAAGGGAGGCGTTGGCAGCAGCCCTGCCCGCTGAGCGTGTCCCGACAGCGCTGCCGGTGCCGGGGCCGCTGGTTTCACAGTGCCGCTGTGCGTGCGGCCGGGAGCCTGCAGCCCTGCAGGCAGCGGAGTGCAACGGTGCTGGGGCCCCACGGGCTGCACTCGCTGCCGATGAGGGGGGGATACCCAGGGAGCGTGTCCCAGTCCTGCCCCGGAGAGCCCCCAGTGCCCGTCCTGGACTGACCCGGGTGAACCGGGCTCCTCCTGGGCTGCACTGCTCTGGCGCGGGGTGCTTTGGAGCCCCTGCAGTGGGGCTGCTGGACTTCCTGCTGCTGCCAGCTGTGGAGCAGCTCTGTCTGCATGGCCAGTGCCTAAACCCCCTGCCCGTATGCCCTCCTGGGGCACCCCTGCCTGCTCCTATTGCTGTGTCTCCCCAGCTCCCTGCTGATGTACATAGGATGCCTGGGGGCTGCAGCGTGCAGGGTGCCTGGCCACGACATGCATCGAGTTTTGTGCTACTGCCATCCCCCTGGGTAAACTTTGGAGGGATTTCTGTTGGGCTGTGCCTTTGGACTAGTTTGATAAAACCCGCCGAGGTTCCTGGAGTGAGGCACTGATGCACAATTCCCCTCTAGATCCCCTCCAATTTGGCAAGCACGGGTGATACCTGCACCCAGTGGCCTCAGTGGCAGGGCCACAGCATCCATGGAGCTGCTTGGTTGCTTCTTCCCCTCTGCGAGCATTTCAGAGGGGCTCACTTTGTTAGCCCTTTTAACACCATCGTGCCCAGCATCCCGTCCCGCTCCCCCCTCACCCCGCAGTGGGGCGGGGAGGGGGTTGTTTTCAGAGCATGCAGTGGTTGGGAGCGCTGGGACCCCTCGGGCGAGCTCCGTTGGTGCCTTTTGTCCCGGAGCACGGCGGAGCCTCTCTGGACAATGGCAGGAAGCGCGCTCCGGCTGCGTGTCGCCGCGGCCAGCCCGCCTGCCGGGGCCCTATCTGCCTGGGGAAGGTGCTTTGCAAGGGCTGCATTGTTTGGGGCCGATAAACTCCGGAAACAAGGGCGCAGAATGGAAGGAAGTGTCCAAAGCCGTGAGCTCCGGGCTGCGGCGCTGCGCGGCCAGTTCCCACGGGGAGGCGATCCTGGGAAGTGCCCTGCAGCCCCCGGCAGCGCAGGGATGAGCTGGATACGGGGCTGGCTGCGAGCATCTTCCAGTCTCATTCACCAATGGGAAGTTACAGTGGTCCCAGGGGTCTCCATGCCTGACCCCAGGCTCAGAAGCTACGCTGGTGCTGCCCCGAGCTCGCAGTGCATCCCATGTGCCCTTGGTTTGCTCAGGCTGCCCTGGGCTGCTGGGCAAGGAGTGGAGCCCTCTGGGTGCTCCTTGAACTTGAAGGCTCCCATGATATGACTCAATTACGGGTAAATTGTTCTGGTTTTTCCTTCCTGGGGACTGCTGGGGAACCCCTCATTGTTTCTGGGGGCCCAGCCTGGTTCTGGGGAGGACAAGGTGCTCTGCAGGCTGTGCAGGGACTTTTGCCCACTCAGGACAGCAGGAATAGAAGCATCAGGAATGGGTACAGGTGTTCTCCCCACTGTCAGCATCCCAAACCCAGAGGGGTTCCTGGGTCACCAGCCGTGGTGTCTCCTCAGATGCCCCAGGAACACCACAGACTGAAGGGGGCATGGGATGGATGGGGGGAGGTAAGTCCCCATGCCAGGGTGGAGAAGAGCTTGTCCCATTGCATTGCTGCAGGCAGCTGTGGTTGCGGGGAGGGAGCCCTGCGGATGCTGTGGCTCTGGGCTGTGCAGGTGTGGGGACCACATGGATTGCTGGCAACGCTGGTGGGTGACCTTGGGGTGCCACTGGGGCCATGCACTGGCACAATGATGCAGACACTGTTTTTCTCTCCCCCCCCCCCAGCTGAGCAGAGCCGACCCCGAATGCAGCTGTGACGAAGGGGACGAGACCTCCCTCAAGAAACGGAGCAGGAACCTGTAAGTGTCACATTGTGGTGACAGAGTGTTCCAGGGCTGTTTGTGGCACTCAAACACTTCAGCAGAGCGCTGCTGGTCCGGGCAGCCCTTAGGGTCCCCCTGTCTTGTTCTCCCAAGCTTTTCTGGGGAGAAAGCAGCAAAGTGTGAATTGAGGTCTCGCTTCATACAGGGAGTTGTGATTTTCAGGGAGGAGGTGGGAGATATAATGGGGCATCACACACCTGGCTGGGAGCAGCCCCTCTTGGCCTTGCTTTGGCAGACAGGAGCCTGCTCCAGCTGGTGCCATGGGGAAAGCAGCTTCTCAGAGCTGGCAGAGCTCTGCCTTGGTGGTGCTGAGTTCAGGGAGAGGCCATGCAAGTGCTGAAACATGAGCTGGGGGCCTCTCCCACTGGCCCCATGCAGGGAGGAGGAATCGGGAGGTTTCCCACTGTGGGACAGACTCTACCATCACAGCACATGGGCAGCGTGGTGAGAGCACCAGGAACTGAGGGATGCTCACAGCCCCTCTGCCTCTCCAGGTAAGGCTTTAGGGGTGCCAAGAACTGGGTCCAGGCAAGGACGAGGCAGCCGTAGCCTTTGCTTCCCATGAACACAGCTGGAAACGCAATGGTGGGGACGAGTGAGGATGGTTTTGGAACAACCTCTGGGTTTGCAGTGCAGGATCCATCCGGGTGTCACGGCCACGGGGATTCCTAGAGCTGGGTCCTTCATGTGGGCTCAGGGCAGGTGGAGAAGCTGCACGTGGTTTGAGCAGCTCAGGGGGTGTGAGGGGGCCGAGTGTGCTGGATGTGCACCAGGATGCACAGCTCCACACATGTGCCTCCTGCCAGCGAGCGGCACTGTTGAACCGCGTGTCTTGGCTGCAGGTGCCTTTTTTAGCTCTTTTCATTATTTCCTCCCAATTGAAATTAAAATGAATCCCTCACGGGGACACCCCCCCCCCCTTCCCGTGTCCTGCTGCAGCGCTGAGCCAGGGGAATGGTGCTGGGGGGGGCTCCATCCCGCAGGGTCAGGGACGGTTGTGGGGGGGGTTTGTCCTCACCTTGAGCCGGCTGCGGATGCGCTGGGAGCCTCCTGCATCGCACCGGTCGGCTATTGGCTGCGCAGCTGGGTTGCCGGCCATCTGCAGGGACTATTTATGGTGCATGAGGCTGGGGTTTGGCGCTCACCGCGCCTCGGTCGGCACCCCCCGATGTGCCACACGATGGTGGACTTCTCCGAAAGATACCTGGAGAGGTAGGGCTTGGCATCCTGAGAGGAAGGGTGATGTGCTTTGCAGGGGATGCTTTGGAAGCAGCGTGGGGTGATGGTGCTGGATGTGGCCTCATGGCCGTGCTGGGAGCTGATCACTTTATAGGGGCAACTCCAGGCAGAAACCAGCAGTTCTTTAATGGAACTGTTTTTGCTGTGGCATTTTATACTGCAGGTTATATAGCTGGGGCTCTGTGTGTCTGTGGTCTGGTTTTGTGCTGCTTGCTGTTTATTTGCAAGCATGTGCAAGGGGAACAGTGGGTTTTAAGTTGGGGAACTTCCTTAGGTGGTGCTTCCTGGTGTATTACAGCTGGGAAACACCCCCAGGCTGGTGTGCGCAGGGCTCGGGCTGTGGTGCCGGCAGCCCACATGTGCTGGGGACACACACAAGCGCCGTTCAGTGCTTGGAAAGCTGTGCCGAGCTGCGGCGGCTGCCTCGCAGAGCTGGGAACATGCTGGAGCTATTGCTGAGGGCTGTGTGGGGTGGCCCGTCCCGTGTGGTGGCTGGTGCTCAGCTCTCAGCATCGCTGGCTGAGTGGTAATGGGAGGCAGATGGTGTTTGGAGTGTGAGGCTCTGTGTTTGGAGCAGCTTTTCCCATGTTAGTGCTGGCAGCAGCAGGATCTGTGTCCTGCTGGGACTACAGCCCAGATGATGTGAAGGCAGAGAAACCCTCTGTGCCCCCCATGAGGGCATGGATGCGCTCGGGACTAGGAGGGGATATTGCCCTCTAAATCCTTCCATGGCTCAGGGTGCTCAGCACCTTGTGGGACTGAGCCCTGGGGTGGTCGCATTTATTCCCAGTGGATTGCTGTGTTTTACTGTCCTGGGACGGGGGAGAACTGTGGGTCTAGAGAGCATAACTAGGGATAGGGGTACACCCTTGCCTTGAACCCCTCTTACGTCCCCAGCCAGCTCTGGGCATGGCTCGGTGGCTCCAAGCATCCTGGCATAGACCCTCCGCTGTGGGAGGCTGCAGGGGGTGGCTTGGCCAAGCTACCCTGGGTCCCATCCAGCAGCCTTGGTGCAGGATGAGCATCCCAGGCCACGCAGTGTCCCCCGCGCCCCTTCGTGCCGTGGTGTCATGCAGGGAACGTGCCACGAGGGGACAGCATCGTCTGCTCCCGTCACCTCTCCCACCTCCTGCTCTCCGCTTCTCCCCTTGCCAGGCTGGGGCTGAGCTTTGGGCTCTCATTTTCACATGGCACTTGCCAGAAAATCTTGGTCCCGCTTTGTCCTGGTGGGAAGAGGGAGCCCCGTGTCCGGGTGTCCATCACTGTGCCCGTGCAGGGTGGCAGCGTGTTGGTGTCCGTGCCCCTCAGTGCCACACGCTGCCGGTACCAGTCACCCCCCTATGGAGATGTCCCCATGGCTGTGCCCCTCCTCTGCTGGCACTGGAGCAGTGTGAGCACCAGCGGGTCACACGGCGGCTCCCAACCCCTTTGCCTTCCCCCGGCTTCCCGCGCTCCATAAATAGCCTCGTAAATCCCCGCTCTCCACCCTCGGCGTGGATTTTTCCACCTTTCCTCGTGTTTCCCCAGCAACGCCGGAGCCTCCCTGCTCGGCAGCGGGGCTGACACAGCCCTCACCCACACGCACCCCGGCCGCCCCTCTCCGCATTTAAAGCTCCCCCGGCTGAGCCCTCCCACTTCCGCGCCGGGCGCACCGGGCGGGAGCGCGCACGGGGCTGGCGGCAGAGCCGCGGAGCGTGTGTCCGCGCCGGCAGCGCCCCGGCCAACATGCCCTTCTTCCGGGACCTTTCCAAGCCCCAGCCGCTGGAGTTCCACGCCGAGATGCTGCTGGGCGTGCAGAGACCCCACAACGGCAGCCTGCAGCGCCGGCACACCATGAAGGAGTAGGTGGTGGCCACAGGGCTGAGGCTGAGGGTGGCTCCCCTCGGTGCCCGGTGTCCCCCTAGCCCCTCGCCCGCTTGCTAACGCTTCCTTTTTCCCCCTAGAGCCAAGGACATGAAGAACCGACTGGGGATTTTTCGGCGGCGAAACGAGTCCCCCGGGGCCAACCCCTCCGGGAAGCTGGACAAAGTGCTCAAGTCACTCAAGTAAGTGCTGCGAGCGGGGGGCACGGGGACCGGGGGAGCTTGGGGACAAGCTGGGGTCGGGCTGAGCATCGCCTCCAGCGGGGCTGGGGCCACCCTGTTGGGGCAAGCTGTGGACAAGCAGATTTTGTTTCTGGAGGAGCATTAAAAGGCGTTGGTTGGCCAAAACCTCTGCCGAGGCGGGGGAAGCTCCGTGCCCGGGAGGCGGCAGCTTGGGCTGGAAATTTACCTGATGGCTGCTTTCCCCAGTGCCTGTACGAGAAACTGTAACTGGCCGGAGGGCGGTTTGAAAAACCACTTTTCCCTGGAGATGCTCCAGCCGCTGGAGCCGAGCCCTCTCTGCTCACACTCCGCAGCTTATCCGGCTGCTGAAATCCCGCCGTGCCGCAGCCGGTCCTGGCTCAGACACCGCAGATCCCAGCGCGCAGAGCTCTGTGGGTCGAGTTATCCTCCAGCCAGTCTAAAGGCAGAGTTTTCCTTCCCCTGCTGTGCTGCCCGCTGCAGAGCCCTCCCTCGGTCCCTGTGCAGTGCTGGAGCTGGGGCACACGCGGTGCTGTTACCGGTTGTGGCTGTCACAGCCTCACCTTGCCAACGCTCTGTCCTCCTGCAGGCCCACTCCCGAGGAAGCTCTCAAGTGGGGGGACTCCCTGGAGAAGCTGCTGCTGCACAAATGTAAGTGCTTGACCGACTCTGTTTGCTGCTGGGGGAGTATCCGGAGATGTGCATGGCTAGAGCAGGGATTTCCTCTGTTAATCCCTTCCGGTGTTTGGGGTAGACAAAGGGAAATGAGGCTGCCCCTTGCCTGCACCTCTTCTGTTTCTGTCTGGTGCAGGGGCCAGGGGGAGCCAGGGCTTTGGGCTGCAGCCCCTCCTGGGGAGGAAAAAGCAGCAGTTCTTGCCTCTGCCTGATCTATGAAGGAGGAGCTGCTTTAGACTATTCCCCTCTTGTGTGGGGCACCCCACACCATGGCCACATCCTACACCCAGCTCCCATAGGGACAGCAAGGGAATCGTCTCCCCATGCATGCAGCAGGGCTGAGGACTGGGGATTCAGCGCGCGGATGGATTGCAAGGCTGAGCTTGCGCTGGCGATGCCACCGCTGCCTGCTTTGCCCGGGGGCTCTTGAGGGGGTTTAGGGGACAGTGCGTGGAGGCAGCTGAGTCTGCACCTTTGCAAGGTTGCTGGGCTGAGGGTCTTGCGGGGCCATTCCCCACATGTGAGCCGGGAGTAAAGATGTGCCTGTGTCCCCACAGACGGGCTCGCTGCCTTCAGGGCCTTCCTGCGCACCGAGTTCAGCGAGGAGAACCTGGAGTTCTGGCTGGCCTGTGAGGAGTTCAAGAAGATCAAGTCCCAGTCCAAGATGGTCTCCAAGGCCAAGAAGATCTTTGCTGAGTACATCGCCATCCAGTCCTGCAAGGAGGTGAGGGCTGGCTCCTGTGCTGGTGTGTGGCTCCGCGGCACGGGGAGCTGCTCACCAGCGCTGGTCTCTGTGCCCACAGGTCAACCTGGACTCCTACACGCGGGAGCACACCAAGGAGAACCTGCAGAACATCACCCGCAGCTGCTTCGACCTTGCGCAGAAGAGGATTTACGGGCTCATGGAGAAGGACTCGTACCCCCGCTTCCTGCGCTCCGACTTGTACTTGGACATAATTAACCAGAAGAAAGCCAGCTCCCCACTGTAGACCCAAGGACTCTCTCGGGGCAGGCTGGGAGCTGAGTGTTTACATGGAATCGGGCAGCAGAGGCTTTCCTGGGGGATAGCGGGAGCTGCCGTTGTGGCCCCAAAAGTATTCCTGCAGTGGACGGGTGTGGGGCAGCTGAAGGCACTGAGCATGGGGCCAAGGGGACCAACAAGCCCAGCAGTCTGGTACTGCTCCATCGCCCCATCTCACCATTGCTGGTACGATGCCTTCGGGGTGACTCCGGCATGGATTTTAGCCAGGAGGGAAGCTCCCGTCACTACTGTGAAGCAGGCGCCCGAGCTGCCAGCATGGCTGGAAGGTGACGAGTGATCCCAGCTTGAGGAGGAGGACTTCTGTGTAGGGCTTCGGCAAGGGGACAACAGCACCACCTTATATCCGTGGATGTGAGACTTGTGAACTGGATCAGCCCCAGGATGCTGCTGTGCTCCCCATGCTGGCGATGCCTCCCGAAGCAGTTATATCCCAGGAGCCCGGCGCTTCCTTTGCTCGTGGTGGCTCCCCCTGGGAGCAGCGGAAGCCGGGTCCTTCCCCTGCACTGGAGGTGTGTGAGGCCAGCCACCTCCTGCTCCCACCCCTGGTTTATTTATTGACCTCCCGTAGCTGGACACGTTGCTGTGTCATAGGAAACCCTCGTGTCCTTTCCCGGTCTGAAATGACAAGTGCAATATTTGTGTGTGTCACGGCGGGTTCTCCGCTCGAGTGGATGCTTTTTTAGTTTCTGAGTGCGTACAACGTTGTCTGAGTTCGGTTTTATCCGACAAACCCATTCCCTGGCAGCGGGCCGCTGGGGGAGCCTGGTGTATATATCATGCCCTGACGACGGAGGGTTTGGTGATGGAGAAAAGCAGCTCCGTGGACCAGATGCTCTCTTTACTCTGGATAACAATATGTGTTTTGAGGAGCAGGGGTTACTGCTGACCCTGGCGGAGCTGGACGGACTGCCTGCCTCCAGGCACCCGGTTTACAGTGCGAAGCATCTCTGCAGCTGGCAAAAATACATTGTCATGGTCATAGGTAAATAAAAGGAGAATATCAATGTCTTGTAGCTGCCTTTTCTTCCTGACGTCTCGGCACTGCCAGAGCAGACATCCCCTTCTTCAGCGGGGAAGTGTAAACTCCTGTTCCTGCATGGCTAAAGATGGGAAGCTCTGGTTCCCTGGATTTCTGAGCTGGGTTTTGTGAGGCCATGCCCGGGTGTAGCCCTGCAGGAACACAGACAGCTTTGCCCAAAACGAGACTGTTCCCAGGGACAGGGTTCACTGTTTAAACACTGCAGAGCACCAGCCTCTGAACATGGAAATGCCCAGAAACACAAGTGACCAAGTGTAGCTCCGGGTCCCTCTGGGGACATACCAAAACAAGCATCAGAAAGCCCAGCAGTGCTATTTCAGGTCCTGGCTGGCAGGGCTGCTGCTCCCTGGGGAAAGGCAGCGCTCTGACAGCTCTGGTTTAGGATGAGAATGTTTTGTAAGCGCTGTTCACGGCGTGTTTGGTGGCTGAAGTGTCTTGTGCCACCTGCTTGTGGTCGGCTTCAGATGGTTTAGGATGTGTTTATGGTGTCAGGGGGTTGTGTGGGGCCACGGTGTGGTGTGGAGGTGATGCCCAGGGGTGGAGGTGTTGCAGCTGTCCCAGCAATCCCACCCGGGCACAGTTCTCCCGTGGCAGATATGATCTCTACTTGGGAGCTGTGCGTTTCCCCCTTTAAACTCACAGCATGTGATGGCCAGGTGGGGAAACTGAGGCAGAGCTGAGGGGATCCCTTGAGAGTTGGCTGGAGGCAGCAGGGTAGTGGGATGCCTGCTGGGACCCATCAGGTCAGTGCATTCTCCCTGCGAGCACTGCCATGGTCACCCCAACTGACTCCTCTAAGCCAGGCCCTCCTCTTCCTCCTGCGCTGTTGGGAGCCTTCATTGAATCATAGGATCATAGAATAGTTAGGGTTGGAACCTGCCAGGAGCATTTCCCTTCAGATCTGGCCTCAGCACAGATTTTCTTGCAGTTCCCCTATCTCTCCATCACGCATATACTCTTGACCTCCTCTCACAGCCCCAGCCCATCAGTGTCAGGACACTGACTGCAGGGTCCTGTTGTTGGTCCCCACTTCCCATGTCTCATGCAGGGGACTTGGCTCATGGAGCTTTGTGTGTACTTGGCAGCTCAGTACCTGCCGTTACCTTCTCTCTGGAGGCCAGGGCCAGTGGGCCTTCCTGAGGCTGTTGGTGATGCCCAGGAGCATCCAACCTGCACATCCACGCCTGGTTTTGAGCCTATAGCATGCCTTCCTTATGTGACTTACCTGAGCTCATCCAGCAGGGCAGGCAGCAAGGCCTGGAGCTGCTGTGGGACACGTGGGAATCTGCTGCATGGTTGAGTAAGTGCCACCAATGCCTGCAGGCAAAGGGTGAAGGACCTGGGACCTGGGGTGACTCCCTGGAGAAAACGGAACTGCCCCGTGTGAGTGACACCAGTTGGGTTGTTGCTGTAGCAGAATTCACTGCCAGGTTGGCCTGAGTCACTCTGCAAACACCACAGCTCCAACCCTGCCTGCCTGGGAGGTGCTGGATTGCAGGAGAGGGGTGGGAGGTGGGGATGCCCCATGCTTGTGCCCTGTGTTGCTGTGCTCTCTGCAGGAGGACAGGTCTCACCATGGACCCTGCGGTGACACCGGCGCCACAGCTTTGTCCTCTCTGTGCTGCAGGAGAGGAGCTGTGCCCTCTCCTGGACATTGTGCCCAGAGTGAAGGGTTTGGGGAACCCAGTTTATGAATGGGAGCTGGGTCAGCTCATGGAGGGGGCTTGTTCTGGGGGGACGTTGGTTGTGATGGACATACAGCCCCACTGCCCTGATCAGCTCTTTTTGCAGCTGAGATTAAGGTATGGAGGGCTAGTTACCAGGGGTATTTAGCTTAAAACACAACTTGGTAGCCCAGAGAAGCTGTGGCTGCCCCATCCCTGGCAGTGTTCAA